CCTAATTGTAGCCATACGGGGAACCCCGTAGCAGCCAGAACCGTGTTCATGTACCTTCCTGGGCATGTTTGACGCCCGCCACCTAGAGATAATCCACTGGATCCCCCAATCCGCATTGAGCAGAGTCTGCTGATGTTCCTACGGGAGGGGACCTGAGGGGAGGCACAGGGATTGGTCCTGTTGGCATGGTCCCTGATGCTACCGGCTGTCCCCTAGCCGGTATCGCCCACCTGCAGGTCGGGAGCAGCCCCCGCATGTCCGCTATTTTTGTAACAAAAGCACGAGTTCTTCCCAAAAAAAATAAAATAAAAAAAAATCAGTTGAAGAGTGCATTTCAGTCACATGGACTGGTTTCTACACCTTTCTATCTATCTTTCTTCCACACCGCTATGTGGGGTTGGGGGGGGATTAGGGGGGGAGGCCCAGTGACTGGCCATTGCTCGGCGCTATTACCTCCGCCGATTTCCCCCATCGGCAATGCCTGCCCACCCCTCGTCACCGTGATGAGGGACTGGTACAGCCTTGCTCTTGCACCACTGCTGATGCCTGCCCACCCCTCATCACCGTGATGAGGGACTGGTACAGCCTTGCTCTTGCACCACTGCTGTGGTGCCAACCTACCCCATGGGCTAGGGAGGGATCCGGGTTGGTTGGTGTTCCCCCATACTATACTTTCGACTAGCGAGAGGATGAGATAGATGAGAGAAGAATATGGGCCTCGCTGCACTACTCTAGGCTCTCGAAATATTTCGAGAGTTCGGCTAACATTGTCAGAGAGACGAGACTCTCGAAATACCCGCCTTCGCTGCACTTATTCTATAACCTATTACACTAGGTGAACTCTCGAAACCCTGGGCGTCGTCCTACTCTACAGAAGAGCTTCACCACTGCGCTACGGGACAAACTCTGACTGCTGGGACAGGAGGTCCACTCTCGAAAAAAGAGCCTGTCGGTGGGCAACTCCCGAGGACATTTGCAAATTCAGTTGTTGCAGGCGGGGGACTCTCGACGTTTTGAGAGTTGCATGATAGTGTGGCTTCTGACAGATCGGGTTTCGAGAGGTTCCCGATCGAGAGTAAGTGCAGAGATGACCCACTCTTGAAAATTCGAGAGTCTAGAGTAGTGCAGCGAGGCCCTACAGCTCACTTTTTTTTTTAAGATCTTTCCCCGGGCCTTGTTCGGCTACTCACCAAATCTGGAAATGAAGGGTGCACCTCCACTGAGAACACGGGAAGATACGTTTGCAATTTTATAATTGGCTAGCCGGGGGGCACAGTGCCCTATATTTGGCACTGGAAGAACATATCAACGAAGAAACAGGGGAAGGACCACTCTTGTGCTCGTCCAGCTTTTTTTTTTTTTTTTTTTTTTTTGCTCGTGCAGCTTGCCTCGTGGGCCGTCGAAAAAGAGACGCTTCGCACTCTCCATGAACACACAAGTGGCTATTAAAGGAACGCGCCCCACACGTGTGAGGGGACCAGTTAGCACACAATACAACTCCCCGGAAGTTTCCCTTGCCATGCTTGAACGCCTAAACCTGGACACATGAGCCCAGTTTATGACAGCCACGTGGCAGGTATTGCTTCTTTTTTTTTTTTTTTTTTTTTTAAAGCTATATTCTTCTCTCAATTTCACCTCACATTACCTACCTACCACTACTCCTAATTGTAGGCATACGGGGAACCCCGTAGCAGCCAGAACCGTGTTCACGAGAGAACATGCGGGGGCTGCTCCCGACCTGCAGGTGGGCGATACCGGCTAGGGGATAGCCGGTAGCACCAGGGACCATGCCAACAGGACCAATCCAAGTGCCTCCCCTCAGGTCCCCTCCACAATGAACATCAGCAGACTCTGCTAAATGCCAATCGGGGGATCCAGTGGTCTATCTCTAGGTGGCGGGCGCCAAGCATGCCCAGGAAGGTACATGAGGCCAATGGGGATTGAACCCACGACCTCCTGAATGCCACTTGCAAGCCTTACCAACCGCTGGTAGAACAAAATTTTATTGCAGCAAATTGGAAGACGGGATAAACAAATGAAATACACTGTGATCTCAACTGCACACATCACCCTTTCCCGGCTCCAGAGGTATTGCTTTGCAGCCACCTTTGTTTTTTTTTTGGGGGGGGGGGGAATTGCAGTCACCTATCCCAACCCCAGGCAGCAGTGTTTGTCTTTTTTTTCCCTTCGGAGCTATGTTTCGTGGCTACCCCTGCTTCCCCCCCCCCCCCCCCCCCCCTTCTTTTCCAGCTTCTATGCTCCAATCTATTGGTGAGGAGCTGCTGCGGCTAGGAAAGGGGGTGAGCATCCCTTCAAATTTCGCAAGCATTCAAAAGTAGGGGCTGCATCAAGACAATGATCTCCCCCAGACCACGTGGCCGAGTGGTGCACCCATAACTGTTGATAAACAGGGCTGAGCTCAAATCCTGAGAAATCCAGTGAGGTTAATTGGATGGGGATCTTCTGCCCCAGGGCGACGGGGCAACGGCCTTGAGATATAACCATCCAACTGACCAGCGTCAGGTAATTCAGAAATAATAGTATTCTCTCACCTCATGTGCTTCCACTCCACTCCCCGCTGCACATGCACGACCTCGAACCAGCACCCTCAGTCACAGGAACCAAGTATCTTAAACCAGCAGTGCATGGACACCTGGGCCGCCGGCCTGACACCTCAAATTCTGGAGGCGCGAAATGAAAACTGGCCCGCCTATCGAATTTATCAACGCAGGGCCCAGCGTTTGACGTTTCTGCCTCGTTTTTTCTTGTGGCGACAAGTTTCAGACTGCCAGGCTGGGCCAAACCCCGATGAGGTGTTCAAAAGTGGAACCATACCGATCCTGATATCCACCCCACCTCTCCGGGGCTGTAGTGTCCAACGCACACACACCACACGCAACACCACAGGCAACACTACACGCACACGGCAATTCATGAACTCTTCGCTCCAACAGCACGTGACCCACCACCGCTGGGCCAACTTGTGATGCGCAACCTCACGCCCTGTGCTGTCTTCCGTTCGGAGTGTTAGCTGTGCGGAAAAGAGGCCCAGAAAAACAGCAAGATGGGGTGTGCCAAGGATTTTTGGAAATTGAGTGTGGGGACACAGACGGAACTGAAATCCCCCGTGTTGGTCCGATGGAGCAAGTCGATTGTTTTCACACGTCGCGGAATGCGCGCGCGGGCAAGGCGGGAAGAGAGGGAAAGATCCAAATTCAATCCAAAAAGTATTGTCGTGCCTCCCACCGGGCTACAACCCGTCGTTTAGAACAGAAAGGCTTGGGCACGCTTCGCGTGTCTCGTTTTCGTATCAAGTCTCGTCGTCGTTCGCTGGTTAGTTCCGAGTCTGACGTGGAGGGTCTCAGCCGCGTGGGTCTTTCTTTATGCTCGTCTTTGCTCCGCACACGGTAGTGAAAACCCCTGGACTCGTAGCGCTCAAAACGCTGACATTCGGTGCACAGAGTGCGCGGCCAGTGGGGTTTCATTGCCGTCCACGGAATGACGATCAACTCGTTAAATGGCAACAATACTGAGTAAGGTGGGAAGTGCGTATCGATAATAACAAACCCGACTTCTACGAACCCAGAACAGCGGTTGGCCGGAGGGAAGTAATATCGCCCGCCGATTTGTGCAACGGCTTCTCGTACGTCCCACTCACATACACGTGTCATTTCCTCACTGTAAGGAAAAGGTTGCGTTGGGATGGGAGATACGGGAGGCTGACGCCCAATCGAAGGGTACTTGTCAGTCCACATGTCAATCAATCACAAAATATCCTGAGACATCATTAAGAACAAAAGCAATTAGCGCGTCCCCCAATCAATCTTTTTGACATAAGAGAGAGAGAGAGAGAGCAAACACAGATCAGCTTGACCAGGCATATGGCTACAGGTCTAATTAGTTCAACACAACGTTGGTCTCTAGGCGCCTTGTTTCTCAGGGCCGCCTCGTGGCTCGGCTGCTGATGTCGTGCAACATAAGGCAGATGGCATGCGCGGTGCAAACAGAGCTACAAATCTAAACACTCTTGCATTCTCGAACAAAACCCAGACGACAATCGTCTAATCAACAAAAGAGTCACACATTCCATACATGCATTCACTGTGGAAGGTGCGAAAATGAGACGTACACAGGAAAAAATGGATCGCATTACTCAGTACACATGCATCCACCGTTCACAAGACAAGAAGACAAGGTCCTTGCGTAGGAGGATTACCAAGGAAACTAATGGAAGAGTTCCGGACGAAAATCTTTCACATAGAATGCCAACTTATTTTCATCCCAGAGCGGGACAATCATTCAAATGCATCATCATTCGAGAGAGAGAGAAAGAGAGAGAGAGAGAGAGAGAGAGAGAGAGAGAGAGAGAGAGAGAGAGAGAGAGAGAGAGAGTCAAAATAGAAGACGACAAGGTCCGAGAAGAGAAAAGTTCGGCGCCGCCGCCTTACACTCAAGCCAAGGATAACAATCCGCAACAAAGGCGCATTCGCCGTTAATTCCACTGTGGCCCCGGGCCAATCACTCACTCAACTCCAATCATCGAACCTCATGCCCGCACCGACGATCCCGGTCGTCGCGTGCTAACTCCCACCACTGCGATTGTCACCCCGCTGTCGTAAACTCGACACGGTTCGCCCGGATCCCATAGTCCGTCGTGGCGATCAAGCGCTATCGTCAGCCCGACAGGACTTTCCGACTCGCATCAATCCACTCTGCCTAGCCACTGCTTCCCGGAAGCTGGCTTAGGAGTCGAGAACGTAAGAGAGATTTGCGGACGCGCTTGCGGGTTTTATAGTTGCGACAGGGAAGATAGAAGGGGGAGAAGGCGACAGGAGAGCTGAGGTGTAAGAGGAGAAGCAGGAGGAGAAGACTTTGAGAAAAGATCCGGGGCTGCTAATCATACAGGGTTGGAGGACGAACGCGCAAGGCGATCTTATTGGATTCCTCTTTGGATCGGTACGACCGGGTCGCCGTCAGTTGATTGCACAGGAGCTCATCGCACCGATCGTGCAATTGGCGGACGATTTCTCACCCGATATCTACTTTCAGAGCGACAACAGTTCTGCTCCGTACATTTTCGAGCGATCCTTGGATCCGTACCTTCAGTGGACTTCGTGCTTGGAGGAACCTAGGGACGAGGATACGCTACCATCGCGGCAGGAGTATCTGAAGCCGTACGAGATCATCCCTTATGCCTTCTATCCGAAGGCAGAGGAAGTGGTGATCGATGGCGACGAAGAAGAAGAAGACAACGACGAGGAAACATCGGAGGAGGGAAGCTATAGTGAACATAGCGAGGGCGAGTTGAGTGAGAAGGAAGAGGAAGAAGAAGGAACCGGATCCGAGTGGGAAGCCCCGCCGGAGGAAGAAACGCGTACGGGAACGGAGGCGGAAGATCCGGAAGCGGCGTGAAAGCGCGAAGAGATTGCCTCCGGAAAGCGCCAGTTGGAGTTTGCTAGCGAGGCTAGCTTGCGCATCGGTAGCGATCCGACCAGGGATCCAGAGCCGCTGAGGCCCGAAGATGGCGACCCTGCAGCCGCCACCTCAAGTACCGCGCGACGGAGACGGCACCGATCCCCCTCCTCCTCCAGCCCCACCCATCCCCCAGTTCGCCCACGTACCAATGCGGGCGATAGGCCTTCGACCTCGGACGCTGCCCCGCCGACCCCTTGATTTTCTCACCCTCGAGCAGATCCGTACCCCCGTCACCTTCCCTTCCCATCCTTTCCATCCCCATCTCTTCCGCGACTTCTACTCTACCCATCTACTCGCCACCGTCCACCCCCACGCCTCCCTTCAGTCCGCTGCTCCCACGTTCTGCTGGCATCTCCTGATGTTCAGCGCTGCATGGGAGCAATGCAACGTTACTGCGTCGCCACGGGAACAATCCCCGCTTGCCGCCACTTCGAGATCTTTCGAGCGGCGCTTTTCCATACCCTCTCCTCCTTCTATCGCGACTTCCTCGCCTCCCTCCCCCGTAATGGCGATCATTTCCCCCGCTTCCACTGAATCATCCGATATGAGGAACTCCCGGTGACGATGGAAGGGATGAATCGCTTCCTACCCCCACTCCCYCCCCGTCATCCCCGCGGGATCCCCGGCATGTACCGCCTCTACTGGCCTATTCCAACTAAGCGGTAGATCCCATTCACTTGAACCCCCCCCTCTTTTTTTCTCTCCTCCCTTCATCGGCACGAATCGGTAAGCTTCGCGAAGATCACGCCATCAACGATGACGTCAACCTACGCGCTGATTCGACAGACGGCAACGAGCAAGGGTGCAGAGCATACGGAGATCAGGTGGACCATGATGGCGTCACCTGGACGATCTCCACGAGGCAGAGGGTTGCATATGACAGGGCTACAGAGATCTTGCCACGGATGTTGTCGCCATCTCATCCGCGGCCCAGTTATCGTTCCTTGTAATTCTTTCTGCTCTGTTGATACGCTTGGTTCCTCATGCATCACTCTGTTCTCCCCTCTTTCTTTCGCCCTGCCATGCAATCAGGAGATCGCATAGTTTTGGAACCCCCTGCGGGTCACAAACGTGACGAACCACTTCCCGACCTCGTGCCATCTTTCATACCCTTTCTTTTGCCTGTATCATACCAACCCCAGGAAAAACCCGTTTTGAGTTCTTGCTTTCGGGTGCCGCATTTCATTTTTTGAGAGCTTTTTCGACTGCTGAGTTCTGTTTTTCTTCTTGCAATGTCCGAAAATACATGGGAATTTACGTGCGCCTTAGCGAGCGCATTGGGAATTGGGCTCGGTAGTTGGGAATTCCGGGATAAGCGGAACTTCGACGTGTCCTTTTTGGGTGTGTGAATTGGGCGCGTCGGGGAAAACTCTCGGAATTTTGCGTGAATACAAATAGGCGTAGGATTTTCTTCTCCTGTGTCGCTTTTTCGCGCGCGGATATGGTGATTTCAATTTTGAATTAGGATAGAAGCAAGCTGTAACTGTTTCGATGCCTTTTTCTTTTTTTGTTGACGCCGCTGTGCATGCAAAAACTTCCTCCTCTTTGTCCCCCGCATCGCTCCCTCCCGCACCTCCCTTCCCTTCTCCCTCCTTTTTCTCTCTCCCTGTAACTGTTTTTCCTTCTCCATCTCTCTCTCTCCTGCCTTGCTTTCGCACGCCCATTTCCCTTTCTTGATCATCTGAATCTTGGACCCGTCTTGCGCCACCTCTCGCGCCTTTTCTCTTCTCACCCTCTAAGTCTGGCGTACAACGCCCGGTCGATCCCCCGACAACTCCCGCTAGCCAATCAGGTGCGTGGATCGATACGACCTTCCTATCGCGCGACGAATCTGATTGGTTGAACCTTGAGTTTCGAGCCCCTCCCGGGCGAGGACGTGCTGCCACACGTTGGACACTTGCTCCGTCCACTCACGCAGCGAGGCCAAGATCGCGGTATGCCGCAACGGATTGACCGAGCTGATGTCGCCGGTAAATGCCGCCACTGTGGTGATGTGGCTCGTTCTGGGACCCGCTCGCCGATGAACTGCAGTAATCTTCGTGAACACTATCGCGTGAGGTCTTCCTTCTATCCGAAACGCGGCGGCGGCACAGATACCTTCGTCGCAGAAGAATCGCATCAAACGGCGGAGATCCGTATTAAGCCGAGGGTGACAAACTTGCCGGATTTATGAGATGTGGCCACGTGGCTGCCGCAGCTGTGCGTCGAGAACCCGCTCCGTGATGAAACTCATGGCGAGGTCGGAGAGGAGGACGAGGGACAAGAGGGAGAAAGAGGAGAGAGGGTTAGATCGTCGTCGTTTTCCTTGCTTTCCGAGGAAGAAGAGGGAGGAGGATCGGAAGGAGGAAGGAGACGGAGGTAGGAGGTATGTCTGACGATGGGGACGGAGTTATGGCTGGCGCTAGCCTCAGGCGCGATGTGCACCATGTTGGCGCCGTTGGGCCAGAGTTCGACAACGTGAAAACAACCAGAGAACTTGGGAGCGAGTTTCCGGTCGCGTGCACATTTACGTATCTGCACTAGGTCCCCCAATTTATAATGGTACTAGGGCCCAGCATTTCCATTCCGGGCCTCGTAGCTACGGACCTGTCTACCGTGGGCCAACTCGGTCATCCTTTGCCTTTTTCGGGCTAGCTTTGGGACGGTCCGTTCCATCAAATCGGTGTACCTTTTGGCCTTGGCCTTGAGGGCTGCACGCGTGTCTCTACCCCTTGCTTCGGCAATTTCCGAGTTACCCCGGTAATCGACACAGGGGATGCTATTAGTTCGAAGCTGAAAGGGGGTGAACCCTGTAGACTCGTGAGGGGTGGCCTGGTGGATGCCGACGATCTGATATACGATCTCGGGCCAAGGATGCGTGTCGTGTGCCGCTAAGTTCCTACGAAGGGCGGTTTTCATCGTGCGGTTGGCATTGTCGACCAACCCATTCGACTGGGACACGTGGGGTGCCGTATGTCGGAGCGTGACGCCCCTTCGCGCAAGCAGTTCCTCTACCTCACCTTTGAATTCCGACCCATTGTCAGTCAGAATTTCTTCCGTATCTAGATGGGTATAGAGAAATCGTTCGATGTATGTGGCTATTTCGGCGGCCTTTCGGGTTTTACAAGGATAGACTTCGATGTATTCGGAAAAATGGTCAATTAAAACTAACAGGATGAAATATTCACATCAGTTTGGGCCAGGTGGCACGCCAATATCTGTTGTGTCCATACCGACTCGCTGAAAGGGACGCTCTTCTTCCGTTGGCACGATCGTGTTTGGTCCCCGTATAGGGGCGCAATCAGCGGCACAAACCAGACAGTTAGCGACAATGTATTTGACATCATTTCGTATATTGGACCAGAACCATCGATTCTAGTCTATAATTGCCTCCGTGATACGTATCGCGAAATGAGCGGCTTGTTCCTCGTGAGCAGATCGGATCCAATCGTATCTTTGGAAGGGACGGGGAACTGTCAGCCACGAACCCGATCCGTCAGTCTTACGCTTTTCCAAATGACCGTTGATCCATCGATAGTTCAGAGATCTCTCGGTCGCCCTACGTTTGTCGTGTTTGGTGAAATGGCCCAATGATAATCCCGCTAATTTCGCCAATAAAATTTTATCCGTCCAGACTTCCGCCCGTCGGTATTTTTCATCATATTCAGGACTGTCCGTACGGGCGGCCTCGAATCGAACCTCCGTGGGGAGTTTGTTCGTTCTACACAGGGGGCACCTCCATTCCTTGCTACTCGTCCGATATCGAACGCAGGCCCCGTGCACACGGTTGACACACGTGGCACATTCTACCCAATCGACAAATCCGGTCTCGAAGGGATGACAGTCGACCCCATAAACTCGTGCAATACACGTGCAAAAATAGCAGAATTTATCGGGAAGGGTGGCGAAGAAAGCCGAGGCAGTGAGAGGGGCAGAGTTAGTAGGAGAAGAAGGGATTGCGGAGGCGAGTGGGGTAGTCATGATGGCAGAGGAGGAGGGGACGTAGGGAGAGCAGAACAGAACAATTAGTTCTCTTGTCACTTACTGCTTCGATAAGATCTCCACTTGGCCGTACCGAGGTCCGATTTCCTGTACGGGTTCGTTCCACGGAATTACCTCCTCACCCTTTGGAACCTTCTCAGGCCGGTGCAGTCCTGTCAGTCCGTCCGCATTCCCGTGTCTCTCGTGCTTTCGATGATGAATATCAAAGTCCATGCTCTGCAGCATCGTTGCCCATCGCCAGATCATGCCTGACTAATCCTTCGACTTCTTCAGAGCCAACAGGGGCTCATGATCAGTCACCAGGGTGAATTTTCGCCCGTATAGGTAAGCACGGAAGTGACTGATTCCCCAGAGAGCCGCATTGCATTCACCCGTTGGAGCGGCGTAATTGCGCTTGCAGGCAGGTACTGATTTGGACGCATACTCCACTACACTCTCGAGTCCGCTCGGTCCCACCTGGGCAAGGATCGCCTAAATCGCTTCTGGCTGCCAGTCGGTGATGAGAACAAAAGGCTTTTCGGGATCCGGTCCTATAAGGACCGGAGCCGAAACGAGAGCAGCCTTGAGTTTGGAAAACGCTTGATCGCACTCCGGCGTCCAGATCAACGGGTGATCCTTGCGCAGGAGATTTGTGAGAGGTCCCGCAATCGTCGCGAAGCCCTTGATAAATCTTCGGTAATACGAGGCTAGGCCCAGAAAGGCGCGAACTTGCGTGATAGTGGTATGCACTGGCGCGTCCCTGACAGCTGCCACCTTCTGCGGCTCCGGTTGGAGTCCCTTGTCTGTTACCACATGCCCCAGGAAAGAAATGGTGGTGAGGAAAAACTGACACTTCTCAAACGCCACCTTGAAACCTGCATCTCGTAACGCATGCAGTGCCCATTCGATGTGTTGCACGTGTCTCTCGTAGGAACTCGAATACACTAAGATGTCATCCATGTACACAATCACGCAGTAGTTGATGATGCTCTGCGCTAGACGAGTCTTCCGTACGAAATTTTGAAAAGCCATGTTCATGGCCCGCTGAAAAGTCGCA